TTCCATCATGTCCATTTATTGAAATTTAAGTTCTCTAACGTTATATGTTTGCAAGTGCACTAATCACTTTATCCTCTATTATTATCTCTAAATGTACGTTAATTAATATTATCTCTTATTATTGTTCATTAATTGACCGTGCTTATTAATGAACGTTAACCTAATTTTGACTGGATGATAGTTTTATTGCTTTTCTTTCCGAAATTCAGGCGAAAGAAGTCATTTACCCTTGCAGAACATAAAAATACGTCAACAAAGCAAAATTTGTCCCCCCCCCCATTGACGGCTTTATTTTTACATTCAAATTATCGTTTCGTTTGAGATGACGAAATAAAATCAAAGTGCTCTGTGAGCAAACTCGTGAATTGACACATGATTTTTTAGATTATGTTTAATGTTATCTGGTTTAGGGAATTTTGTGGTTGATTGTCATATTTAAAGTACGAGCAGTAGTTCAGTGTTCGCTAATGTAGCAAAGAAACAAAGTAACGTTGGGATAAGAAGGCATCACAATTGAAATGATCATGCTATTACATTTGACAAGGTGGATGATGTCATGTGTTTTAAACGTCTATCATTTTTGTTTCTGGTTCAAAAGAAAAGGTTGGAAGCAAATGTGGGTAAAAAGCAAAATTTATTGTCTTTCGTTGTAAATATTAGAAAATCAAGGCAATACTTTCTTAATGAAAACATTAACGATTCCCTCTTTATCAAATGAGACAAACGGGAACAAGTTTTGAGTGATATAACTAAGCCAAGCCTGCCACCGTTATTTTGGATCTTCGCCTGGGTAGATTTAAGTCACGTGCTAGGCAACGTATAATCAAAAACAAGATGGAATTTCATTTCAGGCCTATTTATCAAGTTTGCGGTGTGAAACTTTCGCATTTTAGTACGTTGTATGTATGTTGAATCTTCAAATTGTCTTGAAACTTAAAAGGAAATTGTTCTTTAAAAATTCACTGAAAATCGGTAGCTGAAATTGTTTGTTTAGGTGTTATTTGATTTTCGTGTTAACTAGTTATTTCGTCAGTCGCCAGCATCTTCTGTTGCTTCACACAGGAAAAACACACGCGACGAAACGTAATGATCAATTTTGTCCTCAATCTCACGCCATAACAGAAAAAGCTTTTGAACATCTGTAAACTCCGAGTGCTTCGCAGTAAGTGATATTTTCAATGAATCTTCGGATTGTTTTCAAGTTCAAGGATTGTAAATTACAATTTTATGAAAAAACGAAGGTTGTTCTGTTATTTCAGTGTGAATCCTTGAATGCCTGCCAGTCGCTGGCGCCACTTGTTGAAACTAAAACGAAAAAAAAAACTCTTTTAAGATTATCATTGGCTTCTTTTTCACCTCACCACTATTCTTAGCAACAAAGGTCGCCATTTCGTATGTTTATTACTCGCCAAAAACTATCAAATGCACTCAAAAGCCTAAAATCTAAAAAAAGTTTACAGGAATCGACCAATCGAGCGAGCGAGCGAGCGAGCGAGCGAATGCCATTCCCCACATCGTATCTATAACTCGCTCTTGCGCATGTGCGCAATTCACGAGTTAAAAAGGACGTCACTTAAAATAACTAAAACCCTTCGTGACGTACATAGAGAATAATATATGGGCGCATGTAGATAGGGAATTTCTCTTCAAGCGTTTAACTCGATAGGTCACGTATTATTTTATTTATCATATAAACAAAGTAGCCCTTTACTGACAAGAAAACTCCAATTTATTAATGAATGAAAATGAAAGGATCGACACTCCGAATAAAAATCTTAAGCGCGTTGGCGCACTTAAGATGAAAACATGCGTTTAATCACGACAAAAACAAACAACGGGCCTAGTTTTAAACATACGAAATTCTTAGTCATTGAATTGGTCCCTACCGACAGAAAAAAATCTTTCAGGTACACGGCCAAAATCGGCCTGTGGCAAATCTATTAGTCGTTGACTTTCGTTCTCAGCCGCGAGAAATGCCATTACCAAAGCTACTGAATACGTAACTCCCGGTTCTACTTTTTTTATTTTGGTTTTCTTTCCCAGGAAAGTTTGAACGTCACTGTCTTTACACGATACGGACTCTTCAGTGTTTTAGCAGCCATAATCCGAAAAAAATCCCACAAACGACCATGAATTGAGAATGGTAAGGCTTTGCCGTTCATTCATTAACCTGATCGAGTGGCGGGAAAGGCGAGTGACGTGTCAGCAGCTGATTGACCTATTATAATATCCTATTTTTTTCACGTGTGTTGTTACGGCTTTACTCAGGGCTGGAAATCCTTGTATAACACTGTAGTTTATGCGGTAAAAACCTTTATCTGCATTAAATGGGCCGTGATGCGTTAAATTTAACAGTTAAAAGGAAGCTCGGGGCTTTAGGTCTTGTTAAAACAAAGAGTGGAGGTATATTTATATTTAAAGCTAAAACCTGACCTTGTCCTCCACAAATCTCAAGTGATATCAAAGATGTGTCGCTTCCGAATGTGGAGTGCGGCATTTCGACAACACATTGCTATTCGTCTTTAGGCAATGAGGCAAACAGACCACATGTCCTTTGCGAAGCTTTATGGATAGCTGTCATTGGATGGTTTCTGACAACTGTGATCGGTGCATCTCCATTACCACTGAACTGTTTCTTCAGTGGCCACCGTCGCACGGCGACACCTTATGTTTTTTTGCTTTTTTTTTTTTCATCGTCCCTGTTTATGGCCTTTAAGACTAGTAGAAATGATTGCTTCAGTCTATGAGACAGCATATCAGTGAGCGAAACTAACTGCAAATGATTAATCAAGAAAATCGATTGAGAAGCTTTGAAACTTAAAGGAAATGTTTTATAGCTCTCATAAACTTCACAGCTTCAAGTACAATATTAACGTTCTGTTTTCAGATTACGATTACCAATAAAAGTATCGGAAAATATTGTTTTCTTTCAGTTCTTACTAAAAGGGTTAGAGCCGACCACACGTGATTATCCATCCGTATTTCTGTTATAATCAACGTCCAACCATAATAAAAGGAATCTTCAGACGATTTGTCTGAACTGGTAAGCTCCGTAGAAGCGTGGTTACCTGAAATGTGTCTCTGACCACTCTTGAAGAACGTAAAAACACGAAAACCTGGCATCGTGTCATTCTAATCACTAGCCAGTGTCCTTGTAATGATTATACTATTCATTAGGTATGTACAGTAGTACTACTCCAATCGTCTCTTAACGGAACAGAAATTTTATTGTCTCACATCATCTACTAAGAGAGGATCTTCCCTAATTCTAAATATACGTAAGCTTACCTCGAATAGTGAATGATTTCAGACTTCTGTACTTTCCCAACCAAGACCTCTACCTTCCAGATCTATATTTGTGTAGATAACCGATTACCTCTAAGATCTTGAATTGATGTAAAATGATCACATCAATTCTTAATAGAAAGAGAAATTGGTATGTTACGATATTTTCGCATATGGATACGCAAAGTAAAAGTTCGTTATAGCAAAGACAATGTAAAGGTGCTAAAAATCAGTGATGAAAGAGTTTAACGCGGTTTGAGAATCAGGAACTTTAGCTCTTTCTTGAAAGAGATAAACTAGACTGAAGTAACAGTCACATTAAAATCATGAAAAGGAGATCTGAATGTGTGAAACTTTTTGTGTACACAAGTGCAGGTGCAAACCCTCAAGCGACACCTCCACGCGTTGTACCTCAACACTGAGAAATTTGTCTTAACGGGTGTGTGACGAAAGCGACTGATCATAAGACACGCTACAGACTTGAAGAACATGAATTCATCAGTGGCTCTGACTTTATTCTTTTTCTCAGTTACCTTTGGACATACCGTAGGCGTTTTCCGTGTACCGGAGAGCCTACACACCAAACATAAAGGATTTGATGTGACAGAAAACAGTAGAGGTATCCAATTAGGGTCGGGAAATACTTCATTAGGTTTGAGGTAACATTTGACTTGATGTAGTTTAGTTTGATTATGATACCGTCAGTGTCCTTTGCGAGATATGTACATCGCGCCTCACAGTTCCTGCCAGCTATCAAACTTCCGGTGCTTGTGACAGCTTACTCAATTGCGTAGTTTTGAGAACGTAGTTTTAAAACATTGAAGAGGGCAAGCGTATCTGATTTCCTGACATAAATCAGCCTTCTCTTACACATCTCTTCAGCTGATCTAATGCTTTATTTAGCTATGATAGGTACCGAGCGATGACGAAGTTTGACTGGTTTAGATGAGAGAGCCGCTCTTTGTGCGGTTCTCTTCAGATTTTGACTTTCAACAAAGGGTGTTACAAAGTCCGTTTGCTCTTCGGTACGTGCCATTTTGTATACCTGGAACTGAACCGTAATGGTGACCTAAACAAATACACCGAGCTAGAAGTATTCCTTTTGTAGCGTTAACCGATACTTTTCAGGAAATGCATTTAATAAAAACAGTTCCTACACTGTAGTACAGTCAGAGAAATATTCTTTGCTTTTTCATTTTTAGGAATATCCTTCCTCGGAGGTCAAAACTTTTTGAAATGAACTTGGTAAAAGCTTATGCTAGTCCACAGTGGACGTATGGTTATCCCTGGCCATGGCAGCATAAAGACCAAGCTCAAGAGTCCAGGCTGCGAAAGGCCCCACGTCCTAAACCGAAAAATCATGGCTAGTGGCTAGGAATTTTACTATCGTTAGGAGACAAAAGAAGCTGTATCATCTGGTGCCTCTCATCACATGAAACGTTACTCTCCATACATAATGTAATCATTATAATCACATCACGAAAGATGAGACTTACTTTTAATGAAACATAATTTTCTTTATTAGCTTCGTATATTCTTAAAAACGGAAACACGTGTGATACACGTCATTGTCTGTTGAACTCAGTAAATGTTTTTAGGCACTTTTTATCAGGTTTTTCTGAAATCCCTTGTTACCCAATTTGCTTTTTATTTTTTCGCAAACGCGTCGGTTCGGTGATAAGGCATAGACCGATAAACATTCTGTGAGTATATTCTCGGAACCGTATTATTGATTTTTTACATGTAATTTATCAACTTGCCCCCTGAAAAGGACCATTTCACTACGCCAGCGAGCCCAATCTACACGGGGAAGAAAATGTACGATGGTTGATCTCATATTATCACGTCGAGTCGATAATTAGATATGTGCCAAGTTCGGGTAGTTTAAGGCTCAATTAACATGCTTCTGCATCACTTTAGTAGAACGGTGCATCTTGAGGAACGCGACGATGTAAACCTGAAGGTAACCATGCACGAATAACTAAACCTACTGCTCATACCATTCTAATTATCAACCATCAAAATGCTGTTATCGAGCCATCTACCGGCTTAGTGAACACGTAAAGGCCCATGTTGTAACAGCGACCTTGCGTTTTTATCATAAAGTCCACTGATAGAAGGATAGGGAGTAATCAGATACAAGAAGAGAGGTCTTCTGAAGAATGTTGTTGACAGGGGCCCTTGAGATCGCTTACAGTGGCAACAGTGGCAGCAGCATGGGCAACAGTGACAACAATGGCAGCAGTGGCAGCAAGGACAGCAAGGGCAGCAATGATGATGGTGATGATGAATATGATGACAACAATGCTGACAACTTGGAACAGGGCAACATGGGCAACAACAAGGACAACAACATGGCTCCTCTGCGGGCTTCTTTTTGGGGGCTTCCTCAGCACCCGGTATAGGACACCAACAGCCTAAATGAAGAATGGAGAACAGATAAAGAACAAAATAAGATATTATCAATAAATTCTGAGCAAACTAATGTTTTTCTGGCCTTAGCATTTGCTACCAACCAACTAGGACTGACAAGACTTATGTCAGTTTATGTGTTCAGATGAGATGGTTTCAAAACATCCTCGTATGATGTTGCTGTGTGACTTGGTTTTGTATTAGTCGTTGCCTTAAGAAGTCCCCGTTCAACTACACTGTTTTATTTTCAGAGCTTATCAATTTTATGCCGCATGCCTTCAGTTAATCGTTAACAGTTGCACTTGGTGTCCAACTCGACAGTAAATTGTAACAATATTTGTCATGCGGGTAGAAATTGACAAACCTTCATCGCACTCATGGTGACAACAGTCGCAATTTTGCATACAGCCGCCAACACAAGGCTGACAACCATGACAAATACAGCACCCTGAAAAAAGAAATTTAGCCTTCAACCAACTAGTATATTAGCAAGTGAAAAAGTTCGAATCGTCGTCATTGAGATTCAATGAACCAGATCCCCAAAATGCCACAATTTTGTGGTTAAAATTACCTACAAGCAACCACAGTTGCTTACTATTGTCTTCATCAAACTCTTTAAAGCATATGAGATTATCGAGCTGAAGATTTTAACTCGAAAGTTCATTTAAATCATACCATATCTTTTCCCTTTATTTTTTCCTACATCATTACTTTGTGCTGCTTTAGGCAAGGACTCGGGTCTAAGAAAAGGAATGAAAAATAACCTTCAGAATGATGGTAAAGATAATTTATTACTGAACAGTGACATTATTACGAATATGACGAAATGCATGTACCTCACCTCACGGACTGATCAAAGGGGCTAAAGCTTAAGGTTACTCAAACGTGATGTTAAATGATGAAAAGGTAATTAACTTGTACGCATGTTTGACGTTCAACGATATCCCAAATTCCTCTCTTTATGTAAAAAGCCACAGTAGAGTTAATATGATAATGTAAGTTATTTCGGATTAAAATCCTACTTGAAACCTCTTTCTTCGTTATCATAAACGCGGTACACCAGTGTTTGCACACCAGGCAGAGTCACATAGCCTCTGGCAGAATACTAAAAGCATCGTAGCTCCTATAGGGTCAGATGTTTGTTGATCTCGCGTAAAATCCAGCACTTCATTAAATCTCAGTGGCAGTTTGCCGTTACCTATTTACATTCTCGTATTGATCGAAGCGTTGTGGGTCAAGATCATCGTACACAAGAACCTTTACCTCTATCGACTTCGGCCAGTTTTCTCAAGCTCAGTCAGTGCATCATCATGAACCTTTTCAATTATATTCCGTTTGAGTATTTTCCCGAGGGCTGAAACGTTCTACATATTACATAACGATCCACAGATCACGGAAGAAAAGATAGATCTTCTTGTTTCTTATTTTGCTTCTTTACAAATAAGAAAGGGATAACATTCCTGACTTTTTCAAAGACCTAAAAATTGCTTTGTGTGACACAGGTCAATGGTCTCAGTGTCTTCATTTCGATGTGAAATCGTGTTTAATCATCTCGACTTTTAGATATAACACGATGTTTTGACTCAGGCCTTCTTCAAATTTAATTTATAAGACGTTTAGAGGTTTGTTGTCACTCTTCTTCTGTCAATCATATTTTTTCTTGTTCTAATTAGTCTATAAAGATTTTTAAGTCGTAGAACATCAGGGACAGGATGAAATCACCCTACCTTAACAAACTTCCCGCCGCAGGTAACTTCCTTGATGTCCTCTTTGAGGTAATTTTATCGCCAGTTTTTGGGTGAC